CCTGTCGCTCCCTCGCCTGCTGCAACATTTTTTCCCGCTCCTGCTTCGCCTTCTTCTCCCGATCCTACCGCAGCATCTGGGCGATCCAAATGCGGTTCCGCTCCAACCGCTCCTATGATCCAACCGCTAGAGACTCTGTATCAACCAGCGCAACGTATCGTGACATTCTTGACGTAAGTATGCAGGCTGACCAGGCGCGGCAACCGCAAAGGCCGGAGCGTCAAGTGCCGTCCCTCGGGCGGGCGCACCTTGCCGGGCATGGGACTTTGAGGGCTCGGGACCGGCAGCGGGTGCAGCCGGAACAGCAACAGCAGCGACGGCGCCATTTGCCACAGGAGCAACGGGAGGCTCAGCAAGGGCAACAGCAGTTGGGGCAGGAGGAAGCAGGAGCCGATCGACAAGGCGTGCAACCGGGTGCACAATATATTGGGACTCCCGTGCCTACGCGATCAGGTGCGGTTGGCGGAATACCTGGCGAAGTCGCGGGAGCGGTTGGATCAGGTCGACTTCGCCAGGTATTCCGCCAACCGCACCTGATCGCGTAGGCACGGGAGTCCCAATATATTGTGCACCCGGTTGCACGCCTTGTCGATCGGCTCCTGCTTCCTCCTGCCCCAACTGCTGTTGCCCTTGCTGAGCCTCCCGTTGCTCCTGTGGCAAATGGCGCCGTCGCTGCTGTTGCTGTTCCGGCTGCACCCGCTGCCGGTCCCGAGCCCTCAAAGTCCCATGCCCGGCAAGGTGCGCCCGCCCGAGGGACGGCACTTGACGCTCCGGCCTTTGCGGTTGCCGCGCCTGGTCAGCCTGCATACTTACGTCAAGAATGTCACGATACGTTGCGCTGGTTGATACAGAGTCTCTAGCGGTTGGATCATAGGAGCGGTTGGAGCGGAACCGCATTTGGATCGCCCAGATGCTGCGGTAGGATCGGGAGAAGAAGGCGAAGCAGGAGCGGGAAAAAATGTTGCAGCAGGCGAGGGAGCGACAGGAGAACCAGTAGCGGCGGCAGCAGGAGACGGACGAGCAGGCGAAAACGCAACGGCAGGATTTGGAACTGCTGTGAAAGCAGGGCTACCCGTACTTTCTCCGGCAACACAATGTTGCTGCTCCTCCTGCAACTTGGCCTTGGCTCGCCGGTCCCGTTCCTGCTCCCTCTCCCTCCACAGAACAATAGTATTGCCCGACGTTTGGGGCCGTTTGGGGCGCAAATTCGAAGCACCGTTCCCGCTACCACACCATCACCGGCTGGGGCGGCCCCCCGCAGGCGAGAGCGCCCCAGCAGCCACGAAAAACCCCATAGATCGAAGCAAACAGTAGATAGAAGGGGGAGGGGGGGTACTCATAGTCGTGCATGCCGTAGTCGTTAGACCATTGACCTCGCATCCCTACAAAGCCGGGACGGAGCACGCCGGGTTCTCACCGGACCAGGCTCTCACATCACCAAGCGCGAAGCGCCGTGAGATATTCGGCGAGTCGCATGAAGGGTGCGCTGCATCCTGCTAAGGGTGTTCGGCATCTTGTGCTTACTTCCTTGCGTACGGATGACAGCTGCGTATGAATTAATTTATTTTCTGGTGCTTTCACTTCCAGAGACAGTTGTAAGCACTGTGTAACTGCCTCGAGGGTGCTTGACCATTGCAACACAACGCGGTGCGATCATCCCCCTTGCGCGGAGTAAGGGTTCTCGACCCCGCACAACATGATC